GTTTGAGCGTTAACTCTTTCAGGACAATAGAGAGAGAGATCGAAAGGGAGAGGATGGTAGAACTAGAGTTAAAGACATTTTATTTTATGGACAAGGTTTTAAATGCGTTAGAAGTGCTTGCACATGCATAACTGACCACCACACACAATGCTAGTGGTTGCTAGGGCGTTACTATGCAATTCTGAATGGTATATCTGTATGCATGTTGCATGAGTGTTCAAATTGGTTGCTATGGCATTGCAAGGTGGTTGCTAGGGTGCTCTGCATTGCTTTGTAGTTGTCAGGGTGTTTCTATGATGTTGCTAAGTTGTTTTTAGATGCATTTCCATGCGGTTACTAAAAATGCTCTGGTAGGGTGTTCTGAGTGGTTTTCAGAGCAGTGTTTTGTGGTTGCCAGGGTGTTGCTATGATGTTGCTAGGGTGTTCTGAGTGGTTTTTATAGCATTGCTTAGTGGTTGCCAGGGTTTTGCAATCATGTTGCGAGGGTGTTCTGAATGGTTATCAGTTCATTGCTTAGTGGTTGCTATGAGTTTGCTTGGGTGTTCTAAGTGGCTTTAAGCCTATTGATTAGTGGTTACCATGGTGTTGCTATGATGTTGCCAGAGTGTTTTTAGTGCATTGCTATACTTTCTAGTTGCTAGGGTGTTCTGAGTGGTTTTCAGTGCATTGCTTAGTGGTTGCCAGGGTGTTGCTATGATGTTGCTTGGGTGTTCTAAGTGGTTTTCAGAGCATTGTTTAGTGGTTGCCAGGGTGTTGCTATGATGTTGCTAGGGGATTCTGAGTGGTTTTTATAGCATTGCTTAGTGGTTGCCAGGGTTTTGCAATCATGTTGCGCGGGTGTTCTGAATGGTTTTCATTGCATTGCTATACTTTCTAGTTGCTAGGGTGTTCTGAATGGTTTTTAGTGCATTGCTTAGTGGTTGCTACGATGTTGCTATGAGTTTGCTTGGGTGTTCTAAGTGGCTTTAAGCCTATTGATTAGTGGTTGCCATGGTGTTGCTATGATGTTGCCAGAGTGTTTTTAGTGCATTGCTATACTTTCGAGTTGTAGGGTGTTCTGAGTGGTTTTCAGTGCATTGCTTAGTGGTTGCCAGGGTGTTGCTATGATGTTGCTTGGGTGTTCTAAGTGGTTTTCAGAGCATTGTTTAGTGGTTGCCAGGGTGTTGCTATGATGTTGCTAGAGAGTTCTTAGTTGCATTGATATGCAGGTACGGAAACTTTCTGGTTGCTAGGGTGTTCTGAGTGCTTTTCACTGCATTGCTTGATGGTTGCCAGGGTGTTGCTATGATGTTGATAGGGTGTTCTAAGTGATTGTCGGAGCATTGCTTAGGGTTTGCTAAGGTGCTTTTGCGGTGCATTGCTATGCGGTTAATAAAATGTTCTGGTTACTAGGGTGTTGAGTGTTTTTCAGAGCATTGCTTAGTGGTTGCAAGGATGTTGAAGTTAAAAGAGACACACAATTTGAGAATTATTCATGTCTGCAACAAACAGTGTGGGACGTTTAATAGTGTTGGAACAGTTCTGCAAACACCACTTAAAATTAAACATGCAACTAATAGATAAAACACTCATTTGATGTGTTGTCCGTTAGTGTAGCCATGCAATAGTGTGTTTAGCACAAAGGGAGAATATAAACTGTCTGTTTCCTGTGTGTGTGTGTGTGTGTCTGTGTCTGTGTCTGTGTCTGTGTCTGTGTCTGTGTGTGTGTGTGTGTGTGTGTGTGTGTGTGTGTGTGTGTGTGTGTGTGTGTGTGTGTGTGTGTGTGTGTGTGTGTGTGTGTGTGTGTGTGAGTGAGAGAGAAACAAATATATTAAGATAAACATCAGGATGTACGCTAGAGTTTCTGTGTCAACACTGTGCACACTGGCCCTGGTTACCCACCACAACACACACACACACACACACACAGCGTCCCTCAGGAGGTAAATCACGACACACCCTCCTCCGTCAGCTGAGGGTCAGGGAAAGCGGGCACAGTCTGGATCAGACCAGCTTTCGTACTCTCACTCAGGCCTAGACCTGAATCATGTGTGATACATGTTCATGATATACTGTAATGTCGTGTGTCCTCTCGAAATCTACTTAGATTCAGATGAAATGTTTAAACATTGACACTTTTTGAATCCAAACTGTCTAATCTAATTGTTAAGGATAATGCTACTGTTGTTTCACTAAGTAAAATACATTTGAATTACTGTATATGAGTTTTATGCCTAATGGGAATATTTACAGAACCAAAACAATGACATTTTATACATCTAATTTCCAATCAAAATTGTGTAAATTAATTGCATTTTAATAGCTTGAGTCTGTGAGTTTACTGTACATACCAGTATATACAGTAATTTGCTTCTTAAAATAAAAGTCTTCTTGGGGAAATTCCTGTAAATAATTACAAGTTTGGATGCACTGTATGCGTACCCAGAATACAGGGATGGCCAGTATTTCAGATACATGTATTTAAAATACGTATTTGAAATACAAAATAATATTTTGTATTTCAACCCTATATAAATGTAATGAATTATTATTATTTTTTGATTATTATTGTATTTAAATACATTTTTCCACACCGTATTTTGTATTTTTATTTTAAATACATTTCCATGTATTTATGCCCATCTCTACAAATACATCAGACATAATGTGCAGTGTAAAACATACTGTATCCCACAATGCAATGCACTCAACTTGACCTTCCATTTCCAGTGACAAATGAGCAGTATTAATATCAACTGTGATATTACTATTAAGCGTTAACAGAACATTGCAGGCAAACAAATGTTAAATCTGAGGCGATAACTGGACGCACTTGCAGAATTAATCACGTGTTGAGGTCACATGACACAGTTTGGAATTGGAACGTTGCTGCTTGGAACGTTTACCATTGCATAATGCGTATAATTTCACATTCTATTTTTTTTTAACTGTATACAGTGTAGACAGTAGCAAGTTATTATTCCATAGCAAACACAGCCAATAATTCAGATTCCAGAGCGGAAATGTCCTCATCTGATAAGGGCTTCCGTCAAGGTGCAATTGTTCCTCGGGAAGCCCTTAAGTGAGCAGAAAAGCACGTATTAAACCATATTTCTCTGCATTATACTTTATGAACACTTTTATGTTTCAACACACGTCTCAGAAACGGTTTGAAAACCTAATAATGTCCTGCAGTGTGAATCCCGTGCGTTTGTTTGTTTCTCCTCAGGGAAAGTCCTCAAAACTTTCCTCGCGGCGCAACAAACAGGAAAAGAGTGGCAGCGTTACGGCAAAGTGTTCACCAAACAGTCTGTTAAAACGCGCCCCACGGGCGTTATTTCCTCGTCCTGACTGGATGAAGGGGGTCCAGCCCTACTGGGCTTCCTTTCTTTTTCCTTCCATCATTCAGCAGCTCACCAACCCCGATCTTTCAGCGGGAGATTAATGTGTGAACCCTGGGAATCCATCGGCACCGCGCGCGTTATTCTTGCCAACTTTTCCAACAGGACACTTATCGCGCGTCCTCGAGTTTCAGTAAACGTTCAAGGAATTGAAAGTATTCTGGTGGAATTATAAGCTTCGGGGTCAAACGGGACAGAAGCAGATAAAGTCGAAGTCTTTGGATTCCGTGGCTGGGTTTATATGAACCTGTTCTCTGGATCCGTGGACGCACTGCGCGGTGTTGGGAACTCTGGGATCACGTCTCTCTGCTTTATCATGGATCGGCAGCAGACGGTTCGCTTCCATGTCATGTGTGTGCTCGTGTGCTCGCTCATCGCGGTGCTGAGCGGGGAGAATTACGCCACACAGGCCCAGGTGATGTCCTCCAAAGCGCTCAGGGCTTCAAACACACGCAGAAATGGTGAGTTTTTGAAGACACGGTGACCCTGAAAGTATCAGGAACGCACGCGTGTCACTGCATTAGAAAACAAAACATCACAGCAAGTGCTCAAATGCTGCAATTCACTTAATTGTTGAAGTCTTTTAGTAAGCTTTTGGTGTTTTAGTGCATGTATGAAGTCAGTTCTCCTCATGTTCACACACAGCAGGTGTAGTTAGCAGGTGTAACTAGTTGACTAGTTTGACAAGTTAAAGTAGTTAAGATACAGTCAAGCTACCCTTCAGAAAAAGTAGTTAGTTACTATCACTTTTTACAATGACATTGTATATTACAAATTACTGAATAATTGTTTTCGTTTGACTGATGCTTTGCTATAGCAATTGCGCAAAACACAACTTTAAGGTTCATTACAAAACTGTCGCGGGACAGATTAAAGTTTAAACTATGACGGGTCATCATAAAATCAGAAATAGACTTTTGATATCTGTGCAATAAAGCAGGGCAATTAATCAATTTAAAAGGCTATTATTCACCTGTATGCGCTTTAATCTTTGGCTTGCATAAATTACATACAAAAGTCGATTCATGTGAAATCTCAACTGTCCTTTACATAATCGTCAGTGAACTGTAAAGCTGATGAAACAATTGTAGTTTGCACAATTTTTGTGATCTAAGACGACAACGCTTCAATGCACCGCAGTCACAACGCGTTACACCGCTAATTACTGGAAAAAGTAGTTCGCTACTGGAAAAGCTACGCTGTTTTAAAAGCAACTACTGAAAAATGTGTTTAAGTTTGTACCATCACTTGTAGTTACAGCTACTCAACAACACTAGTTGATCACATTAACAAAAACAGAGTGGCTTTTTGCATTCGTTTTCAACGCTAAATCGATTGTTTTATCGTTTATAATCATGCAAAACTCTGTTTGCCCAAGGATATAGCCTACTTGTGAAATGTGCTTGTGCTGTCTTTGCAATAAATGACACTTGTATTTTGTTATCTAATGCAATGAGATTTTGAAGTCTGACTAATATAGTCAGTCAAGTGCCATTATTCGAGCTCAGATGACTCTTGCTGTGATGTTTTGTGATCTCATGAACGACGTTCAGATATGTTGGAGTGCTGTAAGCGTGCGAATGCTTTCTGTGGTCACTGTGGAGGATGTGAACGGGCATGAATGTAACTTCATGTTGTCGTGATCAGCTGAAGCTTGTTTGGACAGGTCTTTGTGAGTTTGTGTGATATATAACCTGTAAACCTGTTCCTGTATTCCTGGAGCTCAAACAGTAGAGCATGATGCTCGCAGTGTAAGGTCATGGGTTCGATTCCCGGATAAAAATGTATAGGTTGAATGCAGTGTAAATCGGTTTTGATGAAAGTGACTGCATACATGTACACGTTTAACCACAGATTAAACTGACAACAACAATATGATGATGTGAATTACTTCGGAGACTTTTGAGGTCAGCTGTGTGTGTGTGTGTGTGTGTGTGTGACACCTGTAATGAGTGTCGCAATGTATTCTGGGAATATTAGGGGTAGTCTAGTTGACAAATAACATGGATTCTTCCAAAATGAAGATCTTTACTATTTGGAACCTTTGGAATTTTGCATTTATTTTGGAAGCTTTTGATCTATTTTTAGTAAATTATGGTTCTAAATAGTCGTTGAGTGCAACAGTTTCAATAGTCACACTGCTTGATGTATCAGCTACAGGTGTGTGTTTGATCATCTATGACAGAACTGTTGAGCAGTCGATGGTGTGTGTGTGTGTGTGTACTGGTTTGAGTTTAAGAGCATCGGAGTGAGGACAAAGAGAGTAAAGTGAGGACATTTCGGCTGGCCCTCACTTTCTGAGAGCCTTTAAAGGCCTGTTTGAGGGTCAAGACTTGATTTTATGGGTTATAATATCAAGTTATAATTAGTTTAAAGGCAGGTTTAGGGTAAGAGTTCAGGTTAGGCAGTTAGTTGTGAAGTTGTGATGGGTAGAGTTAGAAACAATGAATGTCCCCAAAAAAGATAGATGTAGAAGTGTGTGTGTGTGTGTGTGTGTGTGTGTGTGTGTGTGTGTGTGTGTGTGTGTGTGTGTGTGTGTGTAAAACAGTTGAAATAGTTATTTTAGGGGCAGTGAGTCACAGGGTGTCCCGGACCCACACCCAGCCATCAGTGTTGAGGAATTTGGTATGGGATTCCCCACAACAGGCACACACACACTTCTTACTGATCCTGTGGCAGTGTGTGTGTGTGTGTGTGTGTGCAGGTGGGCTTCTGTCTCTGAGTTTGTTTATATTGACAAAAAATGGACTTCAGTTCAAACTTAAATGTTTGACGGTGTTTCCATCTGTCATTTTTATACACAAACAGGAAGATGCATATACTTGGCATATTTTTGTCTGTATCTCACACACAGCTGTCTGCTAGCACACATTCTTTCATCGTGTGTGTGTGTGTGTGTGTGGAATCTATGAAAAACTAAAACCTTGACAGACACACTATGACAGTTCCCTCAGTGGCAGATCTTGATTGTGTTTCCGGGCTCTACTAGAACATGTTTTCCTGCTTGAATGTTGATTATTTTCCTCATATTCTCCATTGTTGCGGCTCCTCTCTTCCCAGTCTGTCAGTAACGCTCTGTTTAGTTCCTGTCTCTATGAAGCCCCTCCTTCTGAAAACCACACTGTGCTCTGATTGGTCGGCTGGAGCAGTGTGTTGTGATTGGTCGAGCGCTTCGAGTGTGTTTGGGAAATGTCCCGCTCTTCCCATAACCGTCAGTTTAACACACTACTGGCTAACTAAACCAGGCCCCGCCCCTTTATTCTGCGTATGAATTATTATAATGAGGAATATTGTGACGTGTTCGTTCCCGGAAGAAACTCAAGACTACAATGGAGGCGTTTCAGGAGTTCAGAAACACTGATATAGAGAAGAACTCAACAGCAACAACACACACTAAAGAAAAAGCATATAGGTCATCTTTAAGTCGTTGATCTCGTTGTGTGCAAAGCAGCGGCGAGTACAAGTGTGTGTGTGTGTGTGTGTGTGTGTGTGTGTGTGTGTGTTCAATATCAAGTTTATCAGGGAAAAATAAGCTCTGCAGATTTTGAATGCCTGTCAATGTTCTGTATATTCCCATATTTCCTACATACTGTCTGCTTCATATTTGGCCAAAATAAAAGTAAAGTAGGAGTTGTGTTTCCATTTGAGTACGTTTCTAAAAGCGGATTAAATTGTTTAATTAAAAATTGTACGTTTTTATGAATTCATTTGTTTACCACAGTTTTTTGATGATAAATTTATATTAAAAAACGTAAAGATTTTTGGGGGAAAACTAAAATGGAATTTGTGAAAAAAGGTCCTAATATGGTTAAAATTGTATTAAATTATTAAAACGTTAAAGTTGTAAAATTGTATGAATAATGTAAGTACCACAGTTTTTTATGATAGATCTAAAATCATAAAACTACGGAAGAGGATTGGGGCCAAGCAATAATACAAATGAATAAAACCATCTCGAGATTAAAGTCATTATAATGCAAGATTAAACTCGTTAAATTTCGAGAAAAAAAATATAAATAAAATGTCGAGAATTGTATTTCAACTTTTTTCTTGAAATTTTAAGTTTATTGTCAACATTTGTATTTCGAAAAAAAAAATTCTTGAAATTTCCATAGTTTTCTCAAAACACAACGACTTTATTCTCGAAATTTAATGAGTTTATTCTCAACATTTTATTTAGACTTTTTTTCTCGAAATTTAACGATTTTTTTCTCGAAACAAAAATACTTTATTCTCGAAATTTAATGAGTTTATTCTCAACATTTTATTTAGACTTTTTATTTCTCGAAATTTAACGAGTTTAATCTCGCATTATACTGACTTTGATCTCGAGATGGTTTTATTTATTTATTATTGCTTGGCCCAAATCCTCTTCCGTATAAAACAGATTTAACGATTTTAGATTTTAAATCTAGAAAAATTAAAACAGAATTTAAGACTGGAAAATAAAATGGAATTTGTGACATAATTAACACGGTTTTTATAGGGCCCTAATATTGTTAAAAGTTTATTATATAATCAAAATAGTAAAATTATTAATTAATTTCATTACCACAGTTTTTGACAATAAATCTGTGTCGATCAATAATCAATAAAAAAATCAATAAAACATAATCTAGAAAAATGAAAACAGATGTTTTTCATAGGGCCCTAATATTGTTAAAAATGTATTACATTATTATTCAAATAATTAAATTATTAAAATGGTAAAGTTTTATGAATTGATTAAATGACCACAGTTTTTGTTGGCAACTATACGGGATATTAAATCAAAGCACAGAATGCAGAAAAATTAAAACAAAATTTGTGGAAAATAAGATGGAATTTGTAAAAATCAAAATAATAATAATACATATCATAAGGCCCTATTATGTTAAAATTGTAATACATTTAATTAGTTTAGTAATATATTCAAATTGAATTTTTATTAATTAAATTTATTAGACATGACTTTCGATGATTAAAACTTAATTAATCCATTAAAATAGACTCCAGGCAGAAAACACAAACTTTGGGAAAATTAAAATGTAACAAAACAGATTTTATAGAGTTGTGTCTTATTGCTCGCAAGAAGAAAACCATCCATTATTATTTCCCATTTATTGCAGTGTGTGTGTGTGTGTGTGAATCACATTAAGCACAGAAACTGGTCATATAAAGCTAGATTAGATGTCAGAACAGATGTGTGTAGTGGATGTGTGCGTGTGTGTAGTGGCGTGTGTGTAGTGGATGTGTGCGTGTGTGTAGTGGCGTGTGTGTAGTGGATGTGTGCGTGTGTGTAGTGGATGTGTGCGTGTGTGTAGTGGATGTGTGCAGTGGATGTGTGTGTGTAGTGGATGTGTGCGTGTGTGTAGTGGATGTGTGCGTGTGTGTAGTGGATGTGTGCGTGTGTGTAGTGGATGTGTGTGTAGTGGATGTGTGCAGTGGATGTGTGTGTGTAGTGGATGTGTGCGTGTGTGTA